ACTCGCGTTCCAATATCCACGTAAAACAAAATGTTTTGCATAACATCACGGCGGTACTGTGATAACACTTAACCTTAACGGCATAACAGATTTTACTACATATTTTTTACTACATAGTTTTTTTTTCCTGTGCGCGCATGTGGCGCCGGCGCAATCACTTGAATTTTTTCCTTCTAACAGTGGAAGAAACAACTCCTTTTAGTCCTAAAACTGTCCGTCGGTTGTCGGTTAGGAAAAATAACCAAAATGAACATCCCTACTGTATATAATTGTTTCGTTTGATCATAGCAAATGAGAGGTAGTAAAAAAGACATATTAATTCTGTCTATTAAATATACGTTTACTGGATAAATGATATTTGATAAAACATTCTTGTAAATAATGATTCAAGAAAAATGTTATAATTTTAAAATATGTTAGTAAAGGATGGTTACGACATTTTTAGACTCATTTTATACTATTTCCTCCCGGGTCAGTCTAGAGTTTCTTATGCTCATCAAGGCTGTATTTATTTGATCAAAAATACCGGAAAAAAAAATATATTGTGAAATATTATTATGATGTAAAATAACATTTTAAGAAGTGATAGCAAAGATTTATATTGTTAGAGAAGATTTATATTTTGAATAAATGCTGCTCTTTTGAACTTTTTATTCATCAAATAATTCTGAAAAAAGTATTGCGGTTTCCAAAAAAATATTTGGCAGCACAACTGTTGCCAACATTGATAATTCTAATAATAAATCAGCATATTAAATGATTTGTTAAGGATCATGTGACACTTTATACTGGAGTAATGGCTGATGGAAATTCAGCTTTGCATCACAGAAATAAATTATATTTTAAAGGATATTAAAATAGAAACCATTATTTTATAACGCAATAACATTTTGCAAGATTACTTTTTTTTCTGTATTTTTGATCAAATAAATGCAGCCTTGATGAGCATAAGAGACTTCTTTAAAAAAACATTACAAGTCTTATACTGATCCCAAACTTTTGAACGGCGGTGTATATATTAGTTTAATATACAAAGCAAGGAGTTCAAACAAAGCATAAACAACAATAATAACAAAATATCAAATTAAAGAACAAAAATGTGGGCTAAGGCAAATTAT